CCTGTTTTAAAACCTTAAACTAAATGATGTGTCAAACGTAAATTCAAATCAACCAATCAGAGGACAGCAATTTTGTTTTTATTATCTTGATTTATCCTGCAGGTCTTGAAAGTGATGGAAAAAAATAAATAAAATCTAAATGGAGAACAAGAGAAGTCACTGAATGCTTCTAACATATTCATATTTTATTTTTTAATTCCCTCGCAAAATACAACTTAACTTAGGTCACAGATATTCAAACTTTATTTTATTTTTCAAACTATGTTAATTTTAGGACCTGCTGCTGAAATAAAGGCAAATCTACCAACAACCAGTCAATTATTGTATAAACGTTCAAATTAATGCCTGAAATTTTAGAGCGATACACGTTTTGGGAATTTTGAGGGCTCAGTCTCAATATATTTTTTAATGTTAAAATTTAGTTTATGATCAGAGTTGAATATTTTAACCCCAAAACCTCATTAAAATACCTGCAACATGCTTGAAGAAGATTTTCTCAGCTGAGTTTTATTTCACAGGTCAACAAAGTTGGATTTGAAACCGAAAAACTTTATTCAAATTATTTTACAAGCTCAAAACGTCTGACTTAAAGTCTGTAAACTCACTCGTGATGCGTGAACTCGTTGAGAGAGCCGAGTGTCGTCAGTCTCTGCTCCAGAGACACGATCCTCAAGGCCAGATAACAGGAAGACAAGATCAGGACGCACACTCTGTGAAACAAACAAACAAACAAACAAACAAACACGCACAAGGACGTTTAGGATCTGGAGGAGGTCCATCAAAAAAACTTTAAAAAAAGAGGAAATGTGTAAAATACTACAGTTCACACAAATAAAGAACCCTGCTGGCTCAATCAACAGAAGATATTTGGTTGAAAATGCCATTTTTTAAATAAATTAATGAATAAAAAAAACTTACAGGAACAAGTAAACAACCAGCAGAGTGTTGAGAGAAATTGGCTTTATGTTCCTGCTGTCGATCACGACCTCTGAGCCTGGACAAAAACAAAAAACAATTTTTAATCAGAGTCACATTTATTCACCTAAAACCGTTTAGTTGGTGACAGTCAACGCGTTGTATTAAACTGTTTATTTCTTTTTTTTTCTTTTTTTTTAGATGGCCTCCCTTCTCCCTTTACAGCCATCCTCTCCACACCATTATTATGAAATATTTATTCTAGTGACTATCTAGTGTAGTTTTTTTTTTGTTTGTTTGTTTTTAATAGGATAGAAAGAAAGAAAAGACAAAGTAAGAAATATACACAAATAGAGCACACGGCAAAACACCCGGCCGCTGTCTGTTCACCTGCAAAGAACATGACAAAACACAGCAACAAAATACATATGTATAAAGAACTTAAAATATTCATGGCTTTGCAGTAAGTTTCCATAAATATATATACCCATACCTACGCCTATATACAAACATACATACACATGAATATACATGAATATATATATCTATATATCTACATATAAAGCCTACATTAGCATCCCTGCTTCTATTTGTGTGTGGTTGTGAGCATGCATAAGTGTATAAGGCTTCTCTAATAGAACATTTAATAGTAACTGTGAAGCAGCAGAGACCCGACCCCCAAGACCAGAGGCAGATGAAAAAGGGGGGACCAGAGCCCAAGACCCCAGGAGGGACCCCGACCGCAGAGCCCCCAGAGCCACCCACACAGGACGAACCACTCACCCACCCCCCAGAATGGGCCACAGGGGAGAACCGGAAGATCCCCACCAGCGACCACATACAGTGACCCCCCGGGGCCAACAGCGACAAACTCATAGGCCTCCGTCGGAACCAGCCGCACCGATGTAGGTCCAGGAACGGGCACCGAGGCCCGGGCACCGAGGGCTCACACCACCCAGGCCAAGGCCCGACAGGGCCAGAGGACCCGAGCCCCACCAGGCAGACACCAGGCCGAGCCGACACAAGCCCAAGCGCCCAGCCCCCGACACCAAGGGCCCCAAGCGCGCCGGCAGGCAAGGGCACACCCCACCAGGGGGCCGCGCGATAGGGGCGCGATGCCAAGCACCCCCAGTTGTATCAAAGAGGGGGCAGTCCGAGTCTCGGCCTAACAAATACCCATTCATACACAGACACAATCACACTATCCCAACCTCAATCTCACATTCATTCACTCAAAGACATACAATAACGATACATTTCATTCTTATTCCCGATACGCACTCTATACCCCCCAGGTCCAAGACATGTACCCGCCCTCTACAGGGGGCAGCCCATGCCCAAACCCAGGAGGTAAACCCATTCATTCTCGAGCGGAGAAGAGCCAATATCCCAGACCCGGCCCAGGCCATGCCCAGCCGACAGGACACCCCCCCACCATGAAGAGGACACGCCACCGACCACCCCCACACACCGCCAACAACCAAGCACGCGCCCCCAGCCGACCGCCCGCCAGGCCCCGGCAGCCACCCCGGCCAGCGGGCCAACCATGGCACCCAAGAGCCAAGCTCAGGGGGTCCAAACAACCCCAGGGAGAGCACAGCGCCAGCACAGCGCCAGCACCGCCCACGGCAACCCCCAGACCCTGAACTCCCACATAGTCCTGGTCAACACCCGACGGCCTGCCCTTCTCCCGGACCCCACCCGGGAAAAAAACAAAAAACAATTTTTAATCAGAGTCACATTTATTCACCTAAAACCGTTTAGTTGGTGACAGTCAACGCGTTGTATTAAACTGTTTATTTCTAAAACACCAAGTCACAACAGAAGCCGTCTCAGGGCGCTGAACAAAAACATCCACGCACATTTAAAAAGCCAATTAGTAAAAGTTTTCTATCTGAGGAAGAAGCAGATTGTGTTGAATCTTCACTTCATCACAGTCTCCCATCCTGAGCAAGCACAAAGGAGACAGTGGAAAGAAAAAACTTCCTTTTAAACAGGAAGAAACCTCCAGCAGAACCAGGCTCAGGACGAGCGGCCGTCTGCTTCGACCGACTGGGTTGGAGAGGAACAGAAGTAAAGATGGCAGCAAACGAGGAATGAGGAAATGTGGTCAGTTTGTTCTCCAGCAGTTTAAGCCTATAGCATCCTAACTAAGGGATAGCTCAGGAAACCAAACCAACTCTCATTATATGATTTAGAATACAAGAAAGTCTTGAGCCCAGTCTTTGGACAATGTGTCAGCCTCACAGACACAAGAGAGGAGCCTGATAACTAAAAGATCTTCATCCCATTCTACTTTTGGAAACTCTAGGAACCACAAGTAAGCCCACAGTCTGAAAGCAAAGTGCTCCATTAGCAAAATATGGAACAACAAGATATGTAATATAAGATGGAGCTAGGTTGTTGAGGGCTTTGTAGGTTAGAAGTAAGAACTTGAATTCAGTTCTGGATTTGACAGGAAGCCAGTGGAGAGAAGCTAAAACTGGAGAGATATGATCTCTCCCAGTAACTCCAGTTAAGACTCTGGCAGCAGCGTTTTGGATTAACTGAAGACTTTTTAAAGTATTTGGACACCCAGATAAACCATTACAATAGTCCAGTCTAGATGTGACAAATACATGGACCAGTTTTTCTGCATCATTTTTAGACAAGATGTTTCTAATCTTAGTGATATTACGCAGGTGGAAGAAGGCGGTTCTACGTGTTGGTTAAAAGACATGTCCTGATCAAAAATAACACCAAGGTTTTTAACATTAGAGCTGGAGGCCAGTATATCTGCATGAAACTGACCGAACAGAAAACATTCTTTATTTTTGTTCATTCTAAGAAGCTGACGGTCTGAAACATCTCAAACAACAATAACCTTGGTCCCCACCAGGTGATGATAAAAAAAATCACCTGACTTTTTAAAATACAAAGCTAATCAATTTTTCCCACAAGTCTTCCTGATTAGATCAGATTAATTCACTCCCTCTGGTCGCTTTATCAAGTTGGCCACGCCCACTTTTAAAGAGACATTCTTGAATTTAAAGCCAAATTAATAAAGGAGGGCACAGCTGTTTCAGTGTTTGATTAGCTGGATGTTTTTCATGGTTTCAGCTCTGAGGTAACGGTTGGGCGGGGCAGCTTTATGGGTGAACTACTTGGTTAGGGTTAGGGATAAAAGTGACTTTTAGGATTTACAATAAGCATGTTTTTGTTTGGCTTAAACACCTCATGTTACTTGTACATATAACACCGTTTTTCTAGGGCAGAACTGAAATCCAACATGAAATAAACTGGGATTTGGAAAACTTTTAGTAACTCAATGTTTGTCTCATAACCCAGACAATAAAACCAGACAACTTTTGAACATTTTATCCAAGACTCAAGTGGTTTGACATTGAAAATCTTTGATTTCTCCTCCTCGTGTCCTCCTTGTTTAAAGAGGAACGTGTACCTGGGTGGTGGATGTGTGGTTTGCTGTCTGTGTTCTGCTGCTTCTTCATGCTGTGCTGCTCCGGAGGCGACGTGTTGTTTTGGTTCAGCGCATCCAAGAAAGGAGGAACTGGCAAGTCTGTGTTTTAAAAAAAGTAACAAAACTTGAGTTTAAGTGGAGTTTAATAAGTGTCCCATCTGTTTCTGTTGCCTGATGTTAAATGTTAAGTTGTACTAGCTTGCACCATGTGACATTAAAGCTTCTGTGTGTTTGACAACACACATATAGACAAATATAGATCTCAGGGATCCATACTTGGCCCCCTTCATTTTTCCCTTGTGAGGTTAACGCTTCTGTGTGTTGTTTGGACGATGATACCGGCTATCTTATCGTAGTCTGGAGCCTGGGAGTCGGAGCTGCTGCTCTCCTCCACCTCCTGCCTCCTCTGCCTCAAGGCTCCGTCCAGCTCACTGAAATCCCTCTGCAGAATCAGACACACAGCGCTCTTACTCGTTTCATCCTCATTATTTGCTTTGTGAGAAGTGGTTAACCTGTGTGGCAACAAGCTCAGAAAAGATAACTAGCGCTGTCACTAGTTATCCATCAAACTGCGATTTTACAGATGTTAAAGACTTTAATGCTTTGGTTGAACACCCAGGTTGTAAAGCATTTTGTGTTGTTTGTGTTCGTGGACTCACCAGAGGAAAGAGAGGCGATAGGGATGACCTTTGACCTCTGAAGCTGTTTTCAGCTGAGGAGGGGACGGGGCTGCTGCATGGACTCCTCTCCTGTGCACATTCATACACGACATACACAACAGAGGCTGCATGTCTCTGTGCTTCAATCGTTTCGCCTCACATCTTAGCTCGGATCGTTCGTACAAAGTTTAATAAAAGCAGCTTTAAGTTGGTTGAACGTCAAATCACAATCATTTCCAGCAACCTGACAGTTAGACTGTCTTTTTCCAACGAATGCATAAAATGGTACAAGCTGTGAGACCTCAGCAACAGAGGAGAATAATGAGGTGGGGAAATCTGTCGTACCTCCAGGTGAAGGCAGACTGACATCAGAAATTTGTAGGTGTTTTCTCTGGACAGGAAGGACACAAACACATACTGCGGCAACAACAGAAAGGTTCACTTCAAAATGCATTTTGGTTTTCATCAAACTCTGTCAGAGCGGTTCAGCTCTCACCCTGTCATTTGCAGTTGCGATCACCAGAGCGTTTGGCACCAAGATGGCTGTTTTGGTCTTCTTGACGTTCGTGACTGACACGACAGGGATGGCAATCTGGGACAGACAAACTTGTAAATGACCCAACTTCTTAACGTTTTTTACAGTTTGGAACAAGTCGAGTAGCACTGAGGAGAACTGAGCTGCTCCGTGCACAACTTGACATAACCCCCCCCCCCACAGATCTCTGCAGATTCAATAAACCATGTCTGTGTTTTGAGCACCTTGGTGTCTTTGCCAAAAACCTTGGAGTGGAAGCAGATCCAGTGATCGGAGACAAACATGCGTCCCTGATAGAGGATATCTTTCTGCAAAGCGCAGGTGTAACCTGACAAACAGGCAGATGACATCAGTTTACAGACGGTAACACGAGAACCCTTTATTCTTAAAGTAGAATATATGCATATTGTTCAGATTATTTTAAATTTAAACAAACATTTTCATGGTATCAAATGTTCAAATTATTTTTGAAGTAAAGCGAATCGAAATGGTGTGATGTTGAAGACCTACTCTGTCTGAGCTGCTCCTCTTTGCTGATCTCCTTAAATATTTTATGGTACTGACAGTTGGTCTTAGAAAGCTGAAACACAGAACACACACGTCACAGCACGAAGCCGACGGATGAGTTTATTTGTTGTAGAAAATATAACGAGAGTTTTGGAGGTTTCGACAAGCAGAGCCCTTCACAGGCCTGAAGGACGGAGTTAAATATCAAAATTAAGATGTTCAGTAAGATTTAAAGAGTTCAGCTCTGAAATCTGGAGATGATTGTTGGAAAACAATAAAATACAAAAATATTATTTGTCACTAGATTCACACTACCCATCTGTTCATCCATCCATCCATCCATCCATACTTCCACCCATCCATCCATCTGT